CGTGTAATGAATCACAGCAGCCAGCTGAACAGTAGAACAGCCCTGATTTGTAAGACAGAGTCTGAAATTTAGGTCTGTTTGGTGGTTGGTTTCATTTTTGTTTTTTAAACTGTGTGCGCCATAGTCTTTGGTCTCTCTAGAATTCTGGAGAGTCATCCCATGGAAACTTGAATTCACACTGTTGCTCCTAATTGCAAATAAAGATGGAAATCTGATTGGTATGCTGAAATAAATGTAATAGTACGAATTAATGAGATCTTTAGTCTTAATGTTTTCATAATGTTAGTAAAACTATAACCTAGGCTCTTAATTTTAACTTTATTTTGTTTTTCTAAAGCATACTCTTCTATGAAAGATACCAAGAACAGATTTTTAATGTACCTTGCTGTAAGAGGCATGAACATATCTGTGAGTAGCTTTATGGATGAGATGCAGAAAAACTGATAGTGCCATTTGGCACCTGTACTATGGAGAATATAATACAGCTTTTTTGAAGCTGGGTTTTTCACGAGACTTTATTATTACTTGCAAGTTAAGGATAGTGCCTTAATAAAGTAGTTTATCTGTTTTCTTGAGCACATCACTTTGGTTGCCAAAACCTGCCATTTTCAGTGAAAGTTTTACTTAACAAAGATGGATGAAATGTATGGGAAATTTGTCCAGAAAACTTGATATCCAGTGCTGTTAATTTACAACAGATAAATTTAATTCGTGCCTTGGTGAGAAGAATGAGTTAGTGAAGGTCATGAAATATCATGGTTAAAAAAAAAAATTTACCTATGTCCCAGGTGTTGTGACACCTAAACATTTTTGTATCTTGAGCTAGAAGAGTTTAGAGATGAGTCAGGTGTATTGTTTAAGGGGGTTGTCTGAGTGACAAAAAGGTGCTGCCAGCTTCCTGTTCTCCATTATGCTTTCTTCTTGCAAATTTTATTGGATAGGGAAGAAACCTACCAGTAAACACTACAGCCCTCCACAAAATCTGTTACTGTCTCTTGCACATCATAGCCATGCTTCTTTATACCTTGAAACTCTAGATCTTCTGGAACCAAGAGTCTTAATTGTTCTTCTGAAGTTCTACTTTCTGGCAAAATTTTTGTTTCAAAAGTTCTATTTTCCGTGGGACAAGAGTTGTAATGTCACAAGAGAAGGATATGGAGTTTCTTCTTCAGCATAATGCTGTCTACTTGTCTTTTCTAAATTTGTATAACAAAGATATATGATTAAATGCATACAAGTATTAATAATATAAATTAGTTAATTATTCATAGTGAGATGTGGGTTTGGGGTTTTTTTTAGAGTACTTCACAAATTTTAACTGCTGTAGTACCCTTTGTTAGCATCCTTTGAAAGACAGTATTTCAACATATCGTTTCCAAATAAAAATTCTTTGGCTGAAGGTGGTGTTCTATGCTAAACTGTCTGGCTGAAGTAGTTCTGCAGGGTGTTAGCAAATACTGTATAGTGATTCATAGGGGTTTATGCAATTCTAAAAATAAAGGATTTGTGAAAATTTTCTTACTTCAGAAAGACAACAGATACAAGAGACTTTCAATAAGTACTTAATGGTACGGACTTCTAAAAGTTAAGCAGATAGGGTGTACTTAATACTAGATACAAAACATGAACAGATAATTAATATCTGAGCTCTTGGGAACCAGCTTATTTTAAGTCTTGTCAAGCTGTGTAGTTTCAGTGTCTCGTTTATGTTGCCAGCTTGCTTTACCCTCGCTGTGGGCTTTCCAGGCTGCAACACCCATGGAACAAAGACTTCTTAAAGGGAATACACAACTGTCAAACTTGAGAGTCTGAGCATGAGAAATCGCCTAAGTAATTGTATTCAACACAAGAGGTTAATATGTTGTTGAGTCAGATTGAGGTATGAGAAGTACGCTGTTGGTAACTTTTGTGACATGGTGTCATAATGCACACGCACACTTCTATAACTGCATTGTCTCACTGTTTTCTGTTACGGTAGTCAGTTGCGTAAAGCAGGAGTGATTAGAATGGCCATGGCACAGTGAGGAAATGGAGTAGAGAAGGCACTAAATTACTAATTTTTGTTCTTGTCTTTGTCACTGGCCAATATCAGAGTTGTCATTCTCTCCTTACATACTGTTATTAACCCATTCTAGAAACGTACATATTCGTTTAAGTGAACCTGGAGACCTGGCTGGTTTCTGTCTGAGTTTTTAAAATTACTATGATGTTTCTCTGAGAAGAACACAGACTACTTGGAGACAAAAATTTGTATCTTCAAGAGGACAACAGTATGATATTTTTTTCTCTGAGATCTGTTGTAAGTGAAAACGCTTTCTTATGGGAATGAAGTGATTTAACTAAAGTTGGTCACTGACTTCTCATACCAGCTGATGTTTTAAGTCTCACCCACAGTGTGTTCGTATAGTCGTAGTCTTTGTGCTTTATAATGTAGATACTGGAGAGTGAGACATGGGCGAGACTATTCTAATTGTTTCCTCTCCTCCTGGTATGGATTGTTGCTGAAGATGCCGAATTAATTTTCCTGTTAGTAAAATACGGAAATTCTACTGTTACCCACTTGAGTTGGAAGGCATAAAGATTTGTTAAGTGGTGAGAGGGGGAAAGGGGCTGAAGCACTTTTAATGGGTTGTGTTTTTTTTAAGAGAATGTCCACTAGAGAGCAGCAAAAACCCGTATTCCTAGAAGCTTTGGCTATTCAGCTGATGAGGCATTGTTTTCTGCTCCTAAGGGTTGGGAGAGTAGTGATTTATTTTTGCCGAGGTAACCATTCAGTTGTGTGTGACAGTGTACAGTGTCTTGGCAGGAGACTAGAAAATAGTGGCATCAAACTGGAACAAAAGTATAAATTGTATTAAATTGCACTCATTGGGAATTCTCTAGCAAAAGAGAGGTGGGAACAAAATGAATGAGGAAGGTAAGACATTAAATGTTTTATTTAGTCATAGTGGTATGAGCATGTCTCTACAGCCTCACAAGATCAGGAAGATGAATAAGCGTAACAAGGTTAACCCAAACCTCATTTTTCACTTCAAGTAATTTGGTCTGTGTTCAGTGACTCAGTGGAAATATATCTTGCTGAGTATCCGTCTCAGCGTAGGCATTCAGATGCATGCGCCGTTATGATGAGCCAAGTGTATTATTTAGATAGAAAAAGAAAAGTCATAGACAGTGAGATAGAAGCCAGTGAGATAAAGGCCCGCTTGTTAAGCAAGTTAAAAGAAATATCAATGTGTGAATATTTTAGGAAACTTTTAATGGTTTTAATGGGTTAAAAAAAATAAATGTTCAAGTGTAAATTGCCAAAGGCACACCAACAGGAATATAACAGTTAAATGTTGTCATAGTTAAACTCAGAATAATAAGACTCCTTACTTCTCTGATGGTGTGGGTGGGAGTAGGAAATTGCATCTTCACAAAGTGGTACTGTTAAGAAGCCTTACTTTCGCATGTACCAGTTCTTATTTCATATACATTCTAATTATTTTTTCAATAATCTTCATACTAAACAAATAATTTTGTGATCCCATTCATGTTTTTTTTTTTTTTCTCCATTTTTCTGACTGGTTTGTGGGCTGGTGACTTTCTCTTGAAACATGGGTTATCTTTCTGTACTGGGTCCTCAGAACTTTATCTTGTCTGTAACAGTAAAGGATGAATGGCAATAATTTGTTTTGATTCAAAATCTTGGGGGGAAGGAGGTGTTTTCAGAGAAAGGGGTACAACTTGGTGTTAAGACTTTGAGATGGAATATATATATTTGAGATGAGATCACCATTTATTTACACCCATCTGTCATTGGATATCATGAATTTAAAATCCAAGGCAATTCAGGTGGTTATCTTAAACTTCTGGAGTTTAAGTGGTACACTGAATTTCAGATTTTGGGGCAGCTTTTGCTTTGCTACCTATTAATCCTCACAGCTTTGGTGGGAGGTTTTGTATGTACCCTTTACATAGGCTTGGTCATGGCTCAGTGATTTTTGAGTTTTGAGCATGAATGCTTAAGATTTTAAATTTGTCTAAATTTCTGTATTGTAATCTTCCTACATGCACATACACAAGTTCTGTGCTACCTTTTGCTCTCCACAGATGAACAAGTGGAGTCAAGAGTGTATTGGTATTTTTATTGTCACTGCTGCACTGTTTTCTGTCTGGCTTTGGCCCTGTAAATGCAGGAAGGAACAGAGAAAGAGATTTGAAGTTAGCAGTCTTTCTTCTCCAAGAACTTCTGCAATTTAAAGAATGAAACCTGATCATCTTAAACATGATTAGTCTGTCATTCCTGCTTCCCTCCCCATGCCCCCTTCTTTACTAGTGCAATTGATCACTTTAGTAAGCCAGGAACTTGAGTAATGTAAGGCAGCGTTTTCCTGTGGCTTCATAAATAACAAGTCTAAACCATATTCTGCTTGCGTGAAAGGGTATGTTCTCGGGTCATTCAGGGTTTGTTTTTTAATGAGGATTAAGCCTTTATATGCTCTTTCCTCGGCACAAAATTGAAGCCATCAAATAATGTATGAAGTATTAATCTTGGGTAACCAGTAGCATCCTATTTGTCACTTACTAAAGCTATACCCATGGTTACTGTGGAAAAAATGGCATTGTTTGTATTCAGTTTGAAAATAGCAGAATTGCATGCTATAGAGGATAGTGTTATTAAAAAGTCTAGCTCTTTAATGAGAGGAACTGTAATAGAACTTCTTTACCTGGAGGAATATCTAGGATTGCAGCCTTTCTCTTTTAATACATAACTGTATAAGGAGATACCGCTTCAGCTTTAAATATTACTTTCTTTCATCTGCTAATCTCCTAAATTTCTTTTAGTCCAACTAAAAAGCCTTGCAGTGTTGTTCTTTGGTGTCATGGTTCTGTGTCTATGTAACCAGAAAGATAAGCCTCTTAGTGTTTTGAACTTGTATTTCTTTAGCCATTCAAGTTGTTTCTCAACTCGGAACATGTACCAATACTAACATTAATGTTTTTTCTCAATACAGCATTGCAGTGTTACTGCCACCTCTGTACAAAAGACAACTTTACATGTGTGACAGATGGGATGTGTTTTACCTCAGTAACACGAACTGCAGACAAAGTCATACGCAATAGTATGTGTATAGCAGAAATTGATCTGATTCCCCGAGACAGGCCGTTTGTTTGTTCCCCCTCCTCCAGAGATGGAGTCAGTACTTTGGCTCATTGCTGTGACAGAGACCACTGCAATAAAATAGAACTTCCAATTCCAACACCAGGTAAGGGTTTTGGTCATATTTGTGGGGTTTTTTTAAACAGAAAATTCTGTAAGAGTGGAAGTTTTAGTTTAGAAATTGTAGGTGAATTTGAAGGTCTAAAGTACACTTCAGATTCTGCAAATAAAATTTTGAGAAATTTGGAACAAGAAACAATCTTTTGGGTAGGGATGTTAGGACCAGTTTTGAAGACTTAGATGTAAGGTGAATGGAAACTGCTTAAGCATGTAGTTGCTTTTGACCTTTGTAGTTATTTTGATTCTTGAAAAAGTCAGTGTGCAAAAGTTTTAACAAATAATTGAATATTAACAGATAATTGAAATAATTTGAAGTTCACTGTGAAATACAATAAATTTAGTTGCATTAAAAAAAAAAATAAATAGTTTTACCATTTTCTTTTCTTTTTCCTGTCAGGCCCTACTCCAGGAAAACCAGCTTCTAATCTGGGACCTGTGGAACTGGCTGCTGTCATTGCTGGACCTGTCTGCTTTGTCTGCATTTCTCTAATGTTGATTCTATATCTTTGCCATAATCGTACTGTAATTCATCATCGTGTGCCAAGTGAAGAAGATCCCTCACTGGATCGCCCCTTTATATCAGAAGGAACTACTTTAAAAGATTTAATTTATGATATGACAACTTCAGGCTCTGGGTCAGGTAATGTCATACTTCTAGTAGTGATTACTCTAAGAGCCTTGTAAGGCGCTTTTTTTTTTTTTAATTTTGTCAAATTTGCTTAAACATAATTAACTAGAGAAATGACTAGAAAAACTACTTTCATGTAGATTCATTCAGTATTGGTGAAGATTCAGTATATGGAAATAAAAGAAACATAACTGAGTTGCTGGTACAGCTCATCACTTTGAAGAGTACAGTCAGATACACAGTATATCAGTCAGCTGTTGTAAAAGTTTTGTTCTCCTATATTAGTAAGGCTCAGTTATTTACCTTTTTGTTCTGCACAGCGTATCTAAACTACCAGGTTTTGTGATTTTTGTTTTTTGAGATAATTTGTGAAGTTCTTTTCTCTAGCTTTAAACTGAAAATACATTTATAGCTCTAGCTATTGGTATATGAAGAATATTCTGAATTCCAAGTATGAATTAGTATTTTAGCCAATTGTCTCCTTAGTGGAGATACTTTTTCAGTTGCAAATAGCCATTTCTATGTGTATAGAATGGATGGGATATGCAGACCACGTCTTAAGAATTTCTGTCCCTTGATTTCATGAATTGTTTTAGTTCTGACATTAACAGGTGTTGCTCTGGGAACATGAGGCAGTAGTCCGCTCACTGCATATAGTTTCTGCTATTGTAGTCATGACATAGTTGCTTCCAGGATTATGGTGGTCTGTGTCACAGAAATATGATTTAATAGGTATTGATAGGGGATGATATGTCAGATTAATCAGTGTATAAATTAATTAGTCTCTGGCCCGTGTTAAGGAGTGAGACATCAGATTGTGTACTGCAGCCTCCTGTTGGCCTTCTACTGGGTATGAAGTTTAATACTGAAAATCACTCCTACTGCTTGCAAATATATTTGCTGAAACATCTGTGCCCTTTCAGAGTACTTTCTGCAAAAAAATACTGGTGTTTCATTCTCAACTGCTGAATTCTTTAATTTCCCAGAATGGTAAAAAATTGTAACAACAAAACCCAAGCATCTAGGTTGTTTCTTTCCCAGGGTCAGTAACTGGTAAAACTGTTTAGAGTCTGTTGCTCTATCTGGTAAAATCAGCATAACTTGCTGAACACATTTAGAATAGAGGTCAGAATAAGTCATCTTTAGTCATATCTTCACTGAAGAAGGTGAGGTTGCACTGAGTGTGCAGGCAGTTATGTTTCAGTTGAAAGTTTTTGTTTGTACAAATAAGACAAGGGCAAGTTGCTGTCTGGTTAAAACTGGAGCCTTAGTAGTTTGTGCTTATCTCAATTCTCTCATTTACTAACAGCCATAACTAAAAGTGATTAATGGAACTTCCAACATACTGGGCTAGAACTTGCTAAGTGTAAATGCTGGAATTACTCATCTAGTTAGATTCTTTCTCAGAGGGGTATACAGAAGTAAGAGACTTAATAGGAAGGAGTTGGAGATTTACATTTCTTGGAATGGAGGAAGCTATGATACATAATTTTTATGCCTTTAGAAGCATAAAACTCTTAATTTCTGCAGGTACAGAAAAGTGGGAAATCCCAGTTAGAAGAAAAATAGGATACTTCCTCCAGAGCAAATGGCTAGAAACTAGTGATTATTCCCTTGTCTATTTGCAAATTACACTTTAAATAAAAGCAGCATTCTGGGGAATTACTTAGTTTTCAGAGCTTTAGGACAGTCAGGCTGGTCTGGACTCCCAGAGCACCTGGCCTGCTATAGTATTTGAGCATTGACTACTGATGGCTGCATCAGAGGAAGAAAACCAACACATATGGTCAAATTTGACATACCCCTAAGAAAAGCTCTTCACTAATTTGTTTTTATGCTTGAAAGACAAAGTCATGTTCAATGTAAAACAAGACTGGATGTTTCATTAGGACTGATACTTTAATTCAGCTGCAGTGAATTCCATGTTGTTCAGCTGTTCGTGAGACAAGTATTAGCCTTATTTAGTGTTCTGTACTTTTTATTATGACAGCAGGATAGGTGCTTCAAGTACTTTCTGTACTGTTGGCAGTGTATATATTTGCAATGACTTGTATCACTTTGTCTCAGAATTAGTGAATTACTATATAAATTCACAGTGCCCTAGCCCTTGAGCTGGCAATATTCTTGTGTCCTGAAATATGCTTGCAGCAATTCAGTCTCATTGAAATATGTATTTTAATCCAGACTTTGGTACAGCACACTTAAAATTGAAAAGACTGTACATTTATGGAATAAAATGGGGGTGGGGAACAGGGTCACTGAAGGGAGAAAGGTCAGGCACCCTTGTTAAAATAGTGCTTAACCTTTCAGAAACTGAACTATGTGAAAGGGGTGCTGTTGGTGTGAGAGCCTGCAACAAACAATGGAAATGTACAGAACAGACAAAATGATCTTGACCTAAGAGGCACTGCTAAGGAAGTGTTTATTCTGGTGACTTACAGTACATGTTCTGCTCTTAAATTCATACTGAGGAACCAAAAGAGCTGTTAGTCAAATGAAAAGGGTTCTACCAGGTTTGTATTACAGTATTCTCTGAAGAGAAGCCTATAAAACAGAGAAGTGATCAAAACTCTAAAAATTAGCTTCCCGCTCAGATCAAAAGAGAAGTAGGATTTATTTTTGGCAATGATGAATAATAGTAACCTGTTATCAATTATTCAGTCTTGACTTCTGTTAGTATTGCCCTGTTGTTCCATGACAAACAAGATCTGAAACAACTAGAGCCTTATGAAAGGAGTTGATGAAACGTCTAAAATAGAAGCTGCGGCTTCAGCAGAAGGATCTAAGAGAAGGATTTCAAAGTCTCTTGGAACTGAGAATGATTTTCAGATCATGATGCAAATCTCTAAATATCAACTACATATTGTATAAACAGATTGTGAGTTGGAGACTAACAGCTGGGCATCCCAAATGATAAAGTAACTTAGTTGCAAGGAAATAGGAAGAATTGTCTAAAGCAGAGTGGAGAAGCTTTGGTTATTATTGGTAGGTGACTTCAAGTAGGAATTCAGTGTTCAGAAATCCACAGGGTCACAAAAATTAATGTAAAGTGGAGTCAGTTAAGTGAATGTAAAACTCCTTTAAAATGTATCTGCTGTTTATAGAAGCTTGAAGAGAATGAGATTTTCCACAGTTCATGGGGCTGGGGTTTTTTTTATTACTTTTCAGAAGTTGTCTTGCAGGCAGAGGCTTATGAACAAGAACAAAGTTCTAGAAGCTGTTCTTGTTGGCTATCTTTATTACTTTAGCACTTAATTCCTTAATTCCTGAATTACCCAAATCAGGCACAAATTTCTTACTCGTTGAACAGTCATTGGTCCAAACTAATCAGAGTACGTGTAAGATATAGAAAAGCAAAAAACTCTTTTGTTAAACTCTCAGAAGGCGTTGAGGATACTTTGTTATGGTGTATGAAGATGATGATGAAGGCTTCCAGGGATAAATAGGATGACTGTGGCTGAATACAAGATGCCAAATGTTATGAGCTGCTGTTGAATTTAACATGGGCTTGAATTTTTTCATCCTCCTGAATAGGAAACTGTCACCTTTCTCCATGCACAGTTAAAAGAAGCTGTACTCCAAGAGCTTGAAGTACAGTTGTGCCCAATGTGTATGTCAAAGGTTAACATCACTATCTCCAGTGAGCTGCTTTCCAGGCAGTCTGGTTTACAGTAATGAGTTGCTCAAGTTCCTGTCAATACATGGCTATGTTTCCTTTTAGCAAAAAGAGGAGACTGCTCAGCTGCAACTAAAGTCTGTAAGGAATTCTTATGTAGGCAAGATAAATATGGATTCCAATCTCCTGGATTTGTTCAGCAGCAGTAGTAAGAGAAAGCACAGCTGAAAAAAAAAAAAAAAAAGGCAAGTTAAATCTTTTATTGTAAAAATAAGTATAGGAGCAAGGTGGGTAGATCAGTTAGCAGGGTTTTTATTGTATTATGGCATGTTAATATGACTGGGGGTTTGTAATGTGAAGTTGAAATACTTTGTGCCTGAAAGGTTTAGAACTTAGTATCTGTTTAGAGGCTAGCTGATGTCCTTGGACGACATCTTTTTTTTAAAAACAAGGGATGGCTGTAAATGGCATAGCAAATTGAGACCAGTGCATCTGAAACTGAAAATTTACAAATGGTTTTCTGAAACAGCTGTAGGAAAAATAAAATATTAGGCATATCACCCATCTCAAGTATACAAAACCAGCTTATATTTAACATTTGCTAGCAGGCTTTTAGTATTACATAAGTGATAAGGAGGAAGTTTTCTCTGGCCAACAAAACCAAATTTTAAATTTTCAGGGTTGAGTTTGGTCATGTGGTTGTTCTAGTCTGGCCTCTTCTGCATTTCAAAAGTCTGTCCATAAAGAATGAAAGTTACTCTTCATAGATGAGTTTTTACAGTTTGAGCGTGCAGCACAATTGACCTGAGGAACAGCTATTACAGCAAAAATTTTTAACTTTCTCGGTAGGAATTATTGCAGCATCTAACAATGAGTAAATCATTGGTATGGTGTCCATTTTTTCTCCTCCGTTCTTCATGTAGGTATATTGTCAGCATAGATCATGCAGAAAATTCTTGTATGTCTGGAAGTCTTGAGGCACTCCCCTGAACTCACCAGTGTTTTAATTTGCACTCCTTAGACTGAGGCATAAGCGTGGCAATGCTACTGACGTGATCAGATGTCCTTCTAATGCTGTTATTAGCAAAGAATGTCCAGAGATGGACAGGAGCCTATTATCTGAGCTATTAGTTGGGATTTATTTTCTGTAGCATAAGACAATACAGATGTTGTTCTATCAGCTATTAGAACAGTGATTATGGAGTAATAGATTACTTTGTAAAGCATTTAAGCAAAATAATCCTATACCAAGAGAGCTTATTGTGAGCAGATAACCTGGCTGATGCATTCATCCTGCAGTGTTGTATCACCACAGGATTCTGTGATAAGCTTTGCAGTTACAACAGGAAAGGTTTAAAATAAACAAAAGCCCACCCTGGTTGGGGGATGCCAGTGCTGCTTGTTTGTTCTATAAACTTACTGGAGCATGTTATGAAGTGCTATGAGCACGTAGATGTTCAGAAGCTGTAAAACTTCATGAGTGTAAGCATTTTTCTCAAGTATAGTTACAGTGGGGTGCACAAGAATGGCCTGTGAAATGGGAAGCTTGCAATACAAGTATGTTTTCCTGTTTTACAGTGGCTTGAGAGTACTAGCAGGCTACTGGAGTACTTGAGCATTGAGTGTCAATTTTTGACATTCAGTGTTGCTGATAAGCATGGTTTAACTTTAACTTAGAAAAGGACCAAGTCATATCTAGTGATGAGTAAATGAATAAGTGGCAAAAATGCTCTTAAACTGCCTTACCAGGAGATTTATAGGCAGATTGTTTTCAAAGAAACAAACAAACCCCCCCAAAAAAACCCTCATCAATACTGGTCCTAATTGCTTCATGGTTTGTTTCTTTTTTCATTAAAGCTATCAAAATCCTAAACTAGAAGGAAGTTTGTGCCTTCTTTTTTACAGCTGTAGAGGCAGTTTGTAGCATGATGTTTTGCTGGTCTTTAAGGCTGAAGGTAGCATGTTCCATACATGGTTGTTAGCAGTTCACAGCAGGGTATTAAAATCTTAAGAGAGTTTATGTGCATTCTAATAGAAATATCTTAATGGAGTATGGATCTTGTATTTACTACTTATGATAAGTACTTGTTTTGTTAGAGTGATGTTTAAGGTAAATGTTAAATCTTCTTTTTAGGTTTACCTCTACTTGTGCAAAGAACAATTGCAAGAACCATAGTACTTCAAGAAAGTATTGGTAAGGGCCGCTTTGGTGAAGTCTGGCGAGGGAAGTGGAGAGGAGAAGAAGTTGCTGTGAAGATATTCTCTTCAAGAGAGGAACGCTCGTGGTTTCGCGAAGCAGAAATTTATCAAACAGTTATGCTACGGCATGAAAACATTCTTGGGTTTATAGCTGCAGACAACAAAGGTTAGTGATACTATGAATTTGTTTTCCTGATTATGTACCCAGTCAGAATAGATGGTAAATGGAGGGGAAAATAAAGTCGTGAGGATCCAATTAAGAGTAGCAAAAAATAATTCTGTTACTAAAGCATTTCAGGGTTTGGTAGGCTCTTCATAGGTTTAATAAAGTACATTTTCCTTTTTCTGGAAGACATGCTTTCTTTAAATCTTAAAAAAAAAAAAAAAGGCATATTTAATGAGGTGTAATTTCTACAAGTGAGCTAAAACACTGGCTAAGTTTGGAAACGGGATGCCTCATCCTGTCAGCCCACACATCTGCTGAATACCTGTACTTCCCTAATAGCCTAATAAGATAGATGTGTGGGACCAAAAGAGATCGTGTCTATCCTCTTGTTTTAATATAAAGTGTGGGATAGAGGATTCATTTTTATGGCTGAGATATGAGAAGTTATTAATTTAGAACTCTAGTTAGAAAAGAAATTGGTAAAAGGGAATTAGTTCTTTTTTCCTGGTATTAAAAAAATTGTACCTCTTTCCTGAAGCTTTCCTGATCAGCCTTTAAGTGTCCACTAAGAAGAACAGTTTAACCATTGTTTCCGCTTGATTTGTTGTGGTTTGTCAGATGAAAGTTTTTTGGATTTACCTGCAGTCCAACTTAAGACGCAGAAATTTGGCAAAAACCAACAAAGTTTTTAATTTCTAAAATGTTACACGGTTTCATTCAGTTATTTTAATCTGGAATCGCATGTTTCACCACAAATGGCCTTTGACTTTTTTTTGTAAAGAAAGCATTAACATAAAACTCTGTCACTTTAGGGAGGAGTCAAGAATCCACACACATCCTGGATTCTTAAAGGGCTCTCAGTTTTGTGAGAAATTCCTAAATGGTTTTAGTGTAATTGAAGTATACATGTAAACAGAGCTCTCTTTAATTATCACTAGATTAATTTCAAGTTTTTATATCTATATAAATCTGTAGAATTGGAACAGAACCCAAGAGGTTGTGCAGAACACTACATTTCCCCAGGAAAGGGTTAGCCATCAACTAACTTGCTTCTAGTAGATGTTTGTGCAACTTGTTAACCTCCAAGAGCTTGCAGATCTACAGCATACCAGGCAACTTTTTCCTCTAGCTTATTACACTTGCCATTAGAAACTGTCTTACTTTCATGCCTAAAGCTGTATCAGATATTAATAGGACCTGTGAGAGCTTGAGTTAATTCTAATGGACCGCATGGAGTATCTGGAGTCTGGATTTTAAATTAGATCAGTTACATTAAAGACAGAAGCCTTGGGTACTATGTCTCACTTAAAAGCATAAAGGATATATTGCAATGCCTTAGCTACAACTTTTAACAAAATTTGTCTGTGGTTAAGCATACCAGCCTCTCATTTTGCCCCAAAACTGTAGGTAGTTTGTCCAAAAATACATTTGATGACTCTGCAGAGGAGGTATGAGGAAGGTTTTCTAAACAAGTGGGTGCCTAAAATAATTTCCTGATTGCTGGCTCAGGTTCCAGATGCAATAGGATGAAATTTCATTTGACTTGGTCACCTTCAGGTTCCTTGTAATATAATATGATATAAAATTGTTCCTGGTTTCTAGTCTTACTATGCTGTACATTAAAAGAAAAAATCCTTAGTTAATAGATCATGCCATTATTTGAGACTCTTAAGGTTTTAGGGCAACGTTCTGAGTTCTTGAGAACTGGTTGGTAATTGATTTACAAAAAATGGATAAAGATGTGTTTTGCAAATGCTGCTATTCTTGACTATTTTCTAATAGTATTGCTGTTTGAACAGATGTGGAAAGATGGATTATTATATTTTAAATCCACCAATTCAGAATTCTCAGTATAACCTTCTGCATTCTCTCAGTGAGGAAACATGTACAGATTGTTTTCTCTATGTTAAGCAATCGGAAGTCCTGTGTATTGAAAGGTTAATACTTCAAGGCTTGTTTAGAATACTTCAGGCCACCTGTAGCCCATTAAATGGGAGAACATAGAGGGACCATTATGGAGATAGCACACCTGCTAATCTAGAAGAACTATCATGGTACCCAGAAAGAAGCAAAGTGGCTTTAGAGACCAATGGCTCATTAACAGTCATTCATTGTAGATGCTGGTGCTAACTGATAAATGCTTATTAGGTGCCAGGTGCAAGATGAAGTTTTATTAGTTCACAGCAATAATAGCTATAAAGGATGTGTGTCCATTTCTCCATAGGTCACACTTTTGAATGCATTCAGGAGTTACTACAGCTTGGCTGGACTGCACAAAGTCAATAGATTAAGAATCTGTGTTTCTGAGACCTTGCAAACATGACTGCAGAGGTAGAGCAGTACAAGAAATTAGTTGTACAAACCCAGTTCAGTGCTTGCTGAAAGCTTCAGTGGTACATGGAGAAGAATTCTCAGCAATGGGTTCTCATGTATCCGTCATGAATGCTGAGGACTCGTATCTTGACATGTAGTTTGTGGTATAAATGTGGGCCATGCTGCAATTCTCACTGCCAGTAAAAGGCATTAATTGGGTCTCTCCTCTTAATGCAGCTGCATATTTTTCACAGTTGCTGGGGAACATCTTGCTGGCCATTGTGACTAAAATTGGGGAGTTGCCTTCAGGTAGAAGAGTGCATGTATATTTTAGAAAGTGTTTACAAGCAGATGTAGATCTGTTTAAGTCAGTAGTGTTCAGCTCTGGTGGAGTCATAAAGCTTGTAACTGAACTGTCTTCACTCCTTGTTCTACTATACTGTTTAGACATTCCACATGCCTTAATGGCACATTCTCCTCCTCTACTTCCCACAGCTGTATGGTGTTCAGAAGGCTACAGGAGCTGGTCCAATCTGTCTGCTTTCCCATCCCAAAATGTACTGGGAAATAGGTGCTGCTCTTAAGCCAATTTAAGGGCTGAGAGTCGGTAACTGCGCTTTTATTCCCTCTGGCTAGCATGTTTGTGTTCTGGGTAGCTCTTTACTCAGCCAGGCGTATATGCTAACTTTCAAATACTGCTAGGTCAGGGAAGTTAGTTTCTGGGCCATGTGTTGCCTTGTTTTGAATACCTAAGCAGATAGTTTAGGTTTTGAGTGCTTTTTTGTTTTGTCCTTTCTAACTCAAATACTTAAAGTGTATTGGGAGCTACTTATCTGCACTACTCTACTAGCAGAAGAATGGTGGCAGCAACCTTCGTTTACAGTACTAAAGGTTTCCCTGGCTGTCTGTAACCATAATTGTCTGTAGTCATGTTACAAGTAAGGTGTACCACATTCTTTAAGGTAACTTCATGCACTAAAATACTTTGGCCTCTCCATCCCTTCCTCTTAATTGAAAACTACACTTCCCTAGGTGAAAGTTTTGTTCAGTCAGACTACCTTACAGGGTAAGTAGATCCCCAAGGAGGATAGGCAGTGAGTGACAGAGAAATGAGCAGAATTCCTTCCTCTTGAGAAAAGTAATGTTTAAGCCATTTGGCTTTTCTGAAGCTCTGGCTTTAGCCTGAGAAGAAGGAATTTGACTGGAAGATCTTGCTAATCTACACAGCTTAAGTGCTTTTCATCAATTTAATCAGATGGCTATCTCAATGTGATAGAAGCAAGCTGTTCCACTAACAAAATATCAATCCTCTTCTAGCCACAGACAAAAGCGTTTCCCCTGACATCTCCCTGAATATCTAATTTCTAAGAGTTTTCTAGTTACAGATCCTATCTGTATGTGATCTTTTTACTGTTTTTTTTTTTTTCTTTTCTTCTTCTGTTTTTTGTTATATTATCTGGATGCCAAAAAAGGCTAATGTATCCTACTCTCTACTTTGAAACACTGTACTACATGGCATGAAAGAGCACATGCAAGTAGGCAGTTTCTGTAACTTTTTAAACATTCAACTTGGAACATGTCTGTTGTTCAAAACTCTTGTACCAAGCAATACTGTCCACACCTTAAAGCCTACTATTTGGTTTAAAAACATGCACATGCAAAGTCCAAATTTTTGTTTGCTAGTACCAGTGTGAAAAAAACATTTTTCACTGCAGTGAATTCAGTAAATTCAATTTTAACTGAAGCTTGATTACGTATTTGATAAAGCAATTATTATAAATTCATTTCTTCCAAGAGGCAGCTTGTCCGAGATGGATGTTGCTTGGTTCTCACTAATGTTTTTCTTAAACTGTAATCAGTCTTCTAACAGCATGTCTGAAAGGTGCTTTACTCAGAATTTCAAATTTTGTTAGAACTACAAAAGAAAAACCTACTTCTGAGTGATTTTGATGGCCTAAAATACTTTCAGGTTTCTTGCAAATAGATGAAATAACAGTAATTAATTTCTTAAATAGGTTTCCAAGAGCATACATAAATTTTTGCAATGTTCTTGAACGTTCTGAAATTGCTTGGGATTCTTGATTATGGTGTGTATATGAACTAAAGTAGGTTACTTTGTCATGGAAGACCATGCTACTGTATATAATTACTACTGAGTGTAATTACTTTTCTTACCTGATAATGCAAATCCTGTGATTGAAAGCTTCATTGAAGATGCTGTTTGCTGTGCAGCTGAAAATATTCAGGGTCAGGTTAATTATTACTTGGTAATAATAATTAACTGTTAACAGTATAAAAAGTTCGTCAGAAGGTGTTCTGTTCAGATTGCTAAATGAATGTGTAGCTCGTCAAAGATAGCAAAGTAAAGAAAATGTAGATCCCATCTAATGGCTGGACACTACTCATTGCTGCCTTTCAGCTTGTCTGCAATTAGTGTTATTCTTGTAAGCTTGGATGTAGCACTGTCCCTTCTTAAAATCTGGTTGGAGGGCCACAAATAGTGACATACAAAAGGAAAGAATAATTGCTGCTTTCAGAATGGATAGTAAGCCCAGCTTTGTATTTTCTCCTTTGGAAGAAAGGTAAAAACAGACTTAATACTTGCAGGTAATAAGATAAAATTGAAGTAGAAGGGTCTGTAATCAACAGTGTATTCTCAGGTGGGCACCTAGAGTTAAGAGGGGAAAAACTTTATGCAAAGACACTGTAATCTCTAATCAAAGCAATGATTATTCTTCAGAAACTTTGTGACATCTTTAAAAGATCTGTTTAGACACAATAGGTGTGGTAGACTACTTAGATTACTAATTTTCTCATAATCAGTGTTTTTCATTCTCTTTACCCTTGTGCCTCCTGGAAACCTCAATTTTGGCCAGCAACTTAGAGGTCACCACAGGTGGGATTTGACTTTGGTTTTGAAGTAATGTGTCCGATTGCTGCTTGCAAGCTTCTACTCCAGGAGGAAAAATCCACCAGCTGCTGGTAACTGTGGAAATTGTCTCCCAGACTGAGGCTGGATAGGTAGTAGGAAGACTGAAGGAGTTATGGGGCAAAGATTGAAAGACTTTTTATGGGTAGTGTGGACAATATTGTCCTAGACCCATAGTGACAGTATTAGTTTTCCATCATGCATTCAGCACTGTTAACCCCAAGCAGAGAAGTTAGGGGAAGACAGGACCTGGCAATACCCTGTATAGTTCACCTCAGAATCATAGTGACATCAGCTTTCTATGGTTTGTCTTGTAGTTTAAATAAAAGAATAATCAATAAGCTGTTCAGAAAGTCTTGCATGGTACTCCCAGCCCTCAGAGGCATTTAAATGTCACAGGGAGAGAGGTAAAGACTTAAGAGTTTAATTGGCTGAAGTTACTTGTAAAACATGATTCGTACTTCATAAGCATTATATGAAAGTGACGTGTATGATTTGCTTGTCTTTTGCATGTGTATATGTGGTATTGATGCCAGTGTTATTTTGCAGACAATGGTACATGGACTCAGCTGTGGTTGGTGTCAGACTATCACGAGCATGGATCACTCTTTGATTACCTGAACAGGTATACAGTAACAGTGGAAGGAATGATAAAATTAGCTTTGTCCACTGCCAGTGGTCTTGCTCATCTTCACATGGAAATTGTTGGCACACAAGGTAATCTTACAATTTTTCAGCCTGTCATGTGGATAATACCAGATTATTTCAAAATTACATATACATAGCCTCTTCTACTATAATTCTCTTTTTAATTAGAATATTCAACCTTTTCAGGGTGGAGTTGCTTTGCACACAACTATGTAACTTAAGTGATGAGAAAGCAGCTGAACTCAGCACAGATAGCCAAGTTAATCCCTTGTGGAGCTGAGTGAATTGAAAAAATGTCTGTTTGGGACCTTTGGTAATTTCTGGACTAAGAGAGCTTCTTAATTTAGAAGGTTTTTTACTTTCATTCCTATGGTATATCCAGGTTTTGTAATGCAACATTCCTTCCTACAAAACACTTATTAAAAGGCACTAAGTAATGGTGCCTGTATCTTATCTTTGATGTGAGACAGCACCATGGGTCTGTTTCCAGAGATACTAGAAATTTTTTTGTGGCAAGTAGTAGGTCTACACAATAAATACTTGTAGGAAGAGGGAAAGGAGCAGTAGACTGTAGTAGACATTTAAGGCACTTTTCTGGACAGCCAGTCCACAGTGAATGATTTCAGGAGTTACCTTGATGCCCATGAAACAGCAGAACTGGAAGGAATTTTGTAACTTCTAAAAAAATCTGCACCATGCTTAGAATAATAGCAATTACCTTTTTTTACAGATGTGTTCTTTCTATTTTTTCCCCTTACAGGCAAACCAGCTATTGCCCACAGAGACTTGAAATCAAAAAATATCTTGGTAAAAAAGAATGGAACATGCTGCATTGCAGACCTAGGATTGGCAGTTAGGCATGATTCAGCTACAGACACAATTGATATTGCCCCAAACCACAGAGTGGGAACAAAAAGGTAAAACTATTAACACGATGTATCAGGCAACCTTTTATAATAAAATACTTTGTTTTTTCTTGTCCCATACTGAAGATATTTCTGGATGCAAACACAAGCAGCAGGAAAACATAAATAATGGCAGGTAGAGTTCGTAGGCACTTCCTTGCCAGCTGGTAATTTACATAGACAGTAGGTGCTTAAAAAGCATATTGAATCTTGGCATCTATTACTAGCCTGTGTAAAGTACGAAAAACTTGAAAAATATTGTAGGGCACAAGTATATATTAAAACAATTGGGAGACTTCATGAATGACAGTTTTAGAGACTTCACTGTTTTTTTTTTTTTTTTTTTTTTTGCCTTGTGTTGCATGGAAATGTTGCTTGAAGCCCCATCTGGAGTGTAAGACAGGATATTGACAGTGCAAGTAAAAAGCTGAATTTTTTTCAGTGTAAAGCCTATGTGGTAGAACATACAAGGTGCAGAGTCTTGGATCTGGGCTTTCATGGGATCATGTTTTTGAAAAAATACGAGAACTTAAAACAGTTATCTTTGTCATCTAACACATAAATAGAATTGTCCAATGGATGAGTCCCTTTCTTTTAAAGGCCTACTTCTGCATTTGGAAGTATTGATTTTCTTGTCCTCAGAAGAACTCAGAGCTGTTTACCTCCATCAACACAAGTGCAGTTAAAATTACTGGCTATAACTTATCATTGGTGAACCTTTAGACAATAACAACTGAAGGCTGTTCTGAAGAGAAGACTGATTTTCTTTAGTAATCTGTGCAGCTATACAGCATACAGAGATAGCAGCACTAACAGTGAACTACAGCACCAGAGTTGTGTCATGCGGGCAACTGTTTGTCCTTTTAATGCATATAGGTTCAGTGGTATGTCAAACTGAGGTTTGTATGCCTGCCATGAGGAAATATGTGGAAGCATAATGGCTCAGAGCTGTACTTAGCATATACTCTAGCAGTGTTGGAGAAAATGCAGTGTTGATGTTGCCCAATCTCCAATCCATACATTAATTTATTATTTTTTTTAATATATCTCTTTAGTGATTGATACGTGGGGGGGGGGGGGG